TATGGTTTACTATGCTGGGAATGACAAATTGAAGAGGAATGGCGTTGTATTCATTGTCAAAAAGAAGATATCCAGATCAGTCATGAGGTACAACGCTGTCTGTGACAGGCTAATATCCATGCCCATACAGGGAAGAGCAGTTAATATCACTATTATTCAAATGTATGCACCAACCACTAAAGCCAGTGAAGATGAAATAGAAGAATTCTACCTACTTCTTCAATCTGAAATCCATCAAACACGCAATCAAAATGTATCAATCATTACTGGTGATTGGAATGCAAAGGTTGGGAGCAAAGAGGAAGGATCACTAGTTGGAAAATATGGCCCTGGTGATAGAAATGATGCTGGAGAACGCATGATAGAATTCTGCAAAATCAATGATTTGTTCATTTCAAATAACTTCTTTAGACAGTATAAGAGACAACTATACACATGGACCTCGCCAGATGGGATACATAGAAGTCAAATTGCCTACATGTGCGGAAAGACACGATGGAAAAGCTCTATATCATCTCTGAAAACAAGACCACGGTCAGACTGTAGAACAGACCATCAATTACTCGTATGCAAATTCAAACTGAAGCTGAAGAAATGGAAAACAAGTCCACGAGAGCCAAAATATGACCTTGAATATGTCCCACCTGAATTTAGAGATCATTTGAAGAACAGATTTGATATATTAAACACTAAAGACCGAAGACCAGAAGAGTTGTGGGATGACATCAAGATCATACATGAAGGAAGCAAAAAGTCATTAAGAAGACAAGAAAAAAGGAAAAGGTCAAAATTGATGTCAGAAGAGACACTGAAACTTGCTCTCCAGCGTAGAGATGCTAAAGCAAATGGAAGAAATGAGGAGGTCCAAGAACTGAACAGAAAATTTCCAAGGTCAGCTTGAGAAGACAAAGCCAAAGATTATAATAAAACGTGCAAAGACCTGGAGCCATCTTATATTTTGGACGAATTATTAGGAGGGACCAGTTCTGGAGAAAGACATCATGCTTGGTAAAGTGGAGGGACAGTGAAGGAGAGGGAGATCCCTCCCCAATAAGATGGATGGGCTGGGCACAATGGCAAAGGCAATGGGCTCAAGTGTAAGAGCAACTATGAGGAAGGCGCAGGACTGGGTGGTGTTTGGTTCTGTTGTACACGGGGGCGCTATGGGTTAGCACTGACGTGATGGCACCTAACAACACAACAACCTATAATAACGTTGGTATAAAATATTCATACATAAGGATGAGCCCGGGCTCCTGGTGAGTGTTGTAAGATTAGCACTGGACTGCAAATCACGAGGTTTGCAGTTCAAACCCACCAGCTGCTCCTGGGAATCTCTATACAGGGTTGCTATGAGTCGGAACCAACTAGATGGCACTTAACAACACAAGAATGACCCCGGAGGCCTTAAACACCCACAACACTCATGCCCCAAGAGTTGGCATGCTCCTCCTTTTACAGTTGAGGGAACTGTGTCTGAGTTAGTCTGGACTCCGGGTTACCTGCTTCCTGGGTCACCCCACAGTCAGTAGGACCCATACTTTCAGCTGATGAAATCCACCCACTTGCCAGCACTGGCCCCTGTACACATCTGCAAGATGTTCAGCTGTGCATGGCATGGGCATGGTCACTGTTGAGTGACCCTCACAGGAACATCATAGATTTCCTTTAGTACGTATTGTGTTTAGCAAAACACTCAAATAATTTTTATCCCTATATTCATACTAAAAAGAAAAATCAGAGTTGAATTTGGTTAATGGTTTTTAAAATTCTGTTTCTGACAGCAAAACTCTCTCCTCAAACCAAGTCTGTGCAGAACTCCATCGACAATGGCGGATAGAAGGGGGATGACTGGCTCTGGTTGTGCTAGCGGAGGCGGGCCTGCTGACTGCTCAGCACTCCTCTCACTACTTGTCTGAGGACAAAGGTTAAGACCATGGGATTTAATATATTCGAAGGCCCTTCTTCTCTATTTTACGAGTCTGATTTAGGGCCATTCAACAACTACTCAAGTCCCTGGGTGGCGCCAACAGTTAAGCCCTCACTGTAACAGAAAAGTTGGCAGTTTGAAACCACCCAGAGGTACCTTGGAAGAACATTCTCATGATTTCCTTCTGAAAAGCAACATCCCTGAAAATCCTACAAGCACAATTCTACCCTGCCAGCTCAGGTTTGCTTTTGTTGTGACTTGAGGGCTCTTAGTTCAGGCCCTTCCAGCCACAGAAAGGACTTTCTGGGTGACACCAGTAGGTCCGGCACTTAGGGAGACTTTCATAGGACGGAACGAAAAGAATGACAAAATCAGTGTGGGGCTACTGCAGGATTCCACTAACATGAAATAACTAGAATAGGCAAATACATAGAGACCAAGGTTCACTAGTGGCCACCAGAGGTGGGGTTGGGGTGGGTGACATGTTACTGCTTAAGGAGTCCTCAGCTTCTCATAGGTAATGAAAACATATGCAGATGGGGAGTGCTGACAGGTGCACAGTTACGGTAAATAAAATCAGTGTCACTGAACTGTGTAAGTAAAAACAGTGAAAGTGGCAACTGGTTTATTACATTTTATTGTTGTTGTTAAGTGCCGTCAAGTCGGTTCCAACCCATAGTGACCCTGTATAGGGTTTCTGAGGAGCAGCTGGTGGATGTGAACCTCTGACCTTGCGATTAGTAATCCAGTGCTTATGCTACAATGTGCCACACCGGAACTCAACGGCACATAACTACCACAATAGGTGTGTGTATAATATAATATATGTATGTGTGTATATAAGCGTAGTGGTTACGAATCAGGCTGCAAACCTTAAGGTCAGCGGTTCGAAACTACCAGCTGCTCCGCAGGAGAAAGATGAGGCTTTCTATTCCCGTAAAGATTTACACCCTCGGAAACCCTATACAGGGTCACTATGGGTCGGAACCGACTCGATGGCACATAACAACAACAACAATAAGTATGTACGTATAAATACATGTATATATATGTAAATATATGTATGTTGTTAAGTGTCATTGAGCTGGCTCCGACCCATAGCGACTCTGTATAGGGTTTCCAAGGAGTGGCTGGTGAGCTTGAACCATGAACCATGTAGTTCAAACCAACCTCACAGTACAGCACATTAATCCACAGTGCCACACCAGGACTCACTCACTCACTCACTCACTCACTCACTCACTCACTCACTCACACACACACACAAACACACACACGGTGGTGGTTGTATGCTGTGGAGTTGGTTCCAACTCATAGCATCACTGTATAGTGTTTCCAAGGAGCAGATGGTGAGCCTGAACTGCTGATTTTGCGGTTCAAACCGACTTTGCAGTCTAGCACGTTAACCCACAGTGCCATACCAGGATATATATATATACACACACACACACACACACACACACACATATGTGGTTACGAATCGGGCTGCGAACCTTAAGGTCAGCGGTTTGAAACTACCAGCCGCTCTGCGGGAGAAAGATGAGGCTTTCTACTCCCGTAAAGATTTACACCCTCGGAAACCCTGTACAGGGTCGCTATGGGTCGGAACCAACTCGATGGCACTTAACAACAACAACACACACATGTATATACACATACATAGATATTTATATATTCATATATTTATATGTGTGTACATAGATATTTATATATTCACATATATATTTATATGTGTGTATATAATATATATAACATATATGTGTATAATGTATATATATGTGTGTACATATATATATAAACATATATGTTCACACATATATAAACACACATACATATTAAGTGCCATCAAGTCACTGTATAAGGTTCCCAAGGAGCGGCTGATAAGATTGAACCACTGACCTTGTGGTTCAAACTGACTTTTCGGTCCAGTATCTTATCCATAGTGTCACACCATAACTCCATATATATGGTGGTGGCTGTGTGCCGTGGAGTCGGTTCCAACTCATAGAGACCCTGTACAGGGTTTCCGAAGCTGTAAATCTTTACGGGAGCAGAAAGCCTCATCTTTCTCCTGCGGAACAGCTGGTAGTTTCCAACTGCTGATCTTGAGGTTAGCAGCCCAATTTGTAACCACTATGCTGCCAGAGCTCCTTCCATATATATACACAATATATGTATAATTTATCGCACAATAAAGTACACTGAAAAAGAAAAATGAAAGAACCTCTTCCCATCTTGAAAACTGCTGGGAGGTTTTAGCACCATTTTCCAAGGTCTGACTGTATGGAAAGTTCCCAGTTGAGAGTATAAAAAGGATGGTGGTTTGGTAAAAACTGATAATTTGTCCTCAAAGAGGTTAATCACTCAGATGTCAGCTTAGATGATGGCGTCAGTAAAAAGGGATCTGAGTCTGAGATGCAGTTTCCCAGCTCCAGGCTTTCCAGCACAGACTGCATTTGAACGCAGTGGGGGGCTTCTGTGGCTTGGTCTTTGAGCAGGGACCACCTGGTATACCTTGCCCCGCCTCCATACTAATGATGCTGGTCCAACTGAGTCCCTGCCTGGTGTTCTTAGCATGCCCACAGAGAAGCAGTGCCCTGCTGGCTACTGGTCTCAGTGGCTTGAGATTGGCTCTGCAGAGCTTTTCTGGCTATGGATAGGAGGCGGAGGGCTTTATTTTATATGTTTCAGGCATTGTTTTTTGTCAAGTGTGAGCTTGGGAATTCACTGGAGGCCTGACAAGAGTTCTCAAATATAAATATGGTCACAAAGCAATTTCGTTTGGGAAGAAAAAAGGGGGGATAATTAGCCTCACAAAGGAGTCAGCCCGTGCCTTTCCTGGCAATTACCAGCAGCCGGATGTGCGTCTTGCTGAGTCCAGAGGGCCAGTGCCCGTTAGCCACAACCATCCATCCACCCCAGAGAGCAGCAGCAGACAGCACTGTGAGGCCAGCGCAGAATGGCAGGCTGCCTCTGAGAAGCGTAGACATTCCAGGACCCACCTAAGGGAGGGGATACACTTGCCCCCCCCCCAACCCCCACCTTTCATCTCCTGGTCTCTGGCCCCTACCTGTAGGTCTTTGTCGTGGCTCTGCCTCTCCAGGATCAGCACGCGGTCCTGCAGCTCCTCCACAGTCCCCTGGAGCAGATCATTCTCCTCCAAGGTGCTGCTGAGCCGATGCTCCAGCTCCCGTTTCCCATCTGACAGCATCTTGATCTGAAAGGGCGCAAAGCCTCAGATGTGGTGTGGCGTTACACTGGGGCTGACCGGTAGCAAGGGAGGGACTAGTCCCCAAACACAGAGACTTGTGTGCTGTCTCAGAGGAACTGTGCAATCCTACGTTGAAGGGAAAACTCCTCCCCTCTAGAAACCTGCCTGGGAAGGGGTGGGAGTGAGCTTTCGGGAAGTTGGAATGTCAGATGCCAGGCAGAGGAAGGAAGGCTATGGCTCTGGAAATTCCAGAGATAAAGAGAAGGGCCCCACCTTGCCTGCACTTACCATTGCCCTGAGCCCACAATTTGTATGGCATGTGCTGGGGAGTAGAACTCAATCTGCTCACGACTGCCTTCTCCAGTCACGAGCACAAGGAACCCTCTAGAGTTTGTACAGCAGGGCTGCCCTCTCTCCTCTCCCACTGCAGATCCATGTGGATCTGGGGGTCACTGCTCAGCCCCGTGTCTGGGTCAGTGGAGCAGTTGGCAGGATGCACACAAAGGCAGTCCCTGTGTTGGTCATGTCCGGGGAAAGGACAGGACAGCAACTCAGGGACTGATTTCACATAAAGTGTCTGTTTCTCGGAGAAGTCATGAGTGAACAGAAGCAAATCCTCTCCTTTTATGAAATCAGAAGGATAGTACACAGAGCACCTAGCCAGCTTCAAGACAGAGACCTCTAACACAGCTCTGTCCAGTCTTTTCAGTGTCAGAGGGGAAGGAGGGAAAAAGATGGCTTTTCTAGCTTCTGAGGTTTCAGGGTGAGTTGCTCAGCTTGTTGCTCCCTACTCCTCCCCCCCGCCGCCCCCCCCAAGTCTTTATATAAAGAATCACACCCTGCCTGCTGCTCATGGGCAACAGAGCACCTTCCCAGTTTGCTACTGTCCTCAGGAAAGATGTCAGTTTCAACTGGCAGGTTCCCAGGCTCCTCCCATTCCTTTTCCAGTTCCCTGCAGCTATCATTTCTCAACCAGCTTCTGGTTGTACATTTCCTGCTCACATGGTTAAGATGCTCTCCAGGCTCTCTGGTTTTGCTTGGACTGCAGTGCCTTCAGGCCTTGACTTGATTAAGTTCTGGGGGCCAGCCTCTGAACTCTATCAGAAATGAAGGTCTAACTCGTCCCAGGCCCGCTGAGCCCTGTCGTCTTTCCCTCTGCACACTGGCCATTTACACTCTGCATTAGAATTCTGTTCATAGGGCACAGATCTTCCCTGGCCACCCATCAATCAGATAGGAGGCCATCCTGAAAAACCAAGTATGTGGCCTTTGTCCAGAGAGATCAGGTATCTGGACGGACAAAGAAATACTGTCTCTTAAGTGTGCACCTGAATAAGGGACCAAAAGGAGTAAGTGCCTTTGGTGAATGTGCCCTCTATTCCAACTCTGAGGCAAAGCCATTCCAGGGAAGGCGCCTCTTACTCTACTTGACCTTCATGTAAATGCCCGCTGACCTTTCCAGGCTACACCCCCTGGACCATCTCTGTTTCCTTAATACCACTACATGAGGCAGTGAGCTAATGCAAGTCTGCTGTATACACCGACCCCTTAAAAAAACCCTGAGACGTTCAGAGCTCCATGAAGTACCTTATTTGAAACGAACACTCTCATAGCTTGCTTTTAAAAGCAGTGGTAATACTGAGATGAAACGATTTATCAGCCCAAGCCCAACTCCCTCACTTCACCCTATGCACCCTGAAACTTGTGACCTGATCTGGCAGCGAGCATTCCTGGGAATGCCCTCACATCAGATGGTTGGAAGACGTGAAGAGGAGGGGGAAAGAAGTAGATGAGCCACTCGACTGGAATCTGGGATTGAAAGAAAGCTGGATGGCAAACATGCACACAAATGGTAACAGACACTCATGCCAAACCCACTGAGTACACTACTTACTTCAAGAACCTGCTGCTCAGTACCGGCAGGAGTCCCAAGGGTGGCAGGAGAAAAGAGAAGAGATTGACAGATTTTAGGAAACGCATCTTCAGGTGGTTTGCCACGTGGGAGCAGTGCACTTGGGATCCTCTGGGGCCTGTCCACACAGCAAGTGGAAGATGCTCATTCAGGCTAGACTGCCCTTCAAAGATGCTTAGCTGAGGGCTTCATCCAACAGGAGAACCTCTTTGGGGCACTGACATGACCTTCCCGTTCTCCTCACCTCCCACAACTGGAGTCCCACAGTTTTGTTCCCTGGCTGCTACTTTCTCATTCCTGTGCTTGGGTCTGCTCATTGCCTCAGACCCTGGCTGCCACCCACAGGCAGTACACAATGTGCCATCTACAGAGTAAGTCAAGTCCTTATGAAGCTGGGACTTCTAGTACCATCCTTACCAGGCGGGAATCATAAAAATCCAAACCAAGTGCTGTGGAGTCGATTTGGACTCATGGTATTCCCATGTTAGTGTGGGCTGAACTGGGCCTGCATGACATATAGAAAGGAAGGACTGATTCCTTTTTCCAGCTTCTAATTGGGATTGGCAGGGATTTGGAGTGGTGAACGTTGTCAGTCAAATGTAGATCATTCATGATTTCAACACATTCAGAGTAAGTATAAGGCAATCCCTGAGCAACTTTAGTGTTCCAAGCAACAGGTCCCACAGAGGGACGCTAACCACGTGTTCCCAACATTTCGCTTCTCAGAGATCTGTCTTTAGATTTTACTCTCCTAAAGAACAGGCTTTTGTTTCCCAAGTTCAGAGAACACCTTATCTAAAAGATCCAACTTAGTGCCTCCGCCACAGGGGAGATTCACCTCAGCCTGCAGGCTCTCAAGCCGAATGATGTGCTGGTTGGTTGACGAGTTCTTCTCCCGGAAGTCTTCTCGGAGAGCATGGACTTGCATGGACAGTTGTCTCTCGACTTCTGATGCCTGCAAACAGAGTACAGCTTCACAGTTATGTCAATTGTACACAGGGGTTATGTAGAGGAAGTCTGTAAAGATTTTTGCCTTTAATTTCTCAAGTATCTCTTTGCAACTTTGCATTCTAGGAGGACTACTGGATGAAATGTTGGTTTCCCATCCCTGGTCTATTTGTTCTGTATGCCAAAATGAGACAAGTCCCCATGCCCACCTCTACCATACTGTGACTAGGTTTAGATTCAGTCACTGTACTGAGGAGAAAAATGAACCTAGGAAACAGGAAGTTTTCCTATGTTAATTATTGTCACTGGGACTCTGCACATAGAGGAGGCAGACCAACCCAGTGCCATGAGTCCATTCCCATTCACAGTGACAGAGCAGGGCTGCACCATTATTCTAGGCTGTCATCTGTGTGAAAGCAGGTTGCCCACTCTGTCTCCCACAGAGCTACTGGGTGGCTCCAAATGGCCAACCTTTTGGTTAGCAGCTGAGTGCTTACCCATTGTGCCACCAAGGCTCCCTGCCGAAATCTGTTGTCATGATTGCTAGTGACTGCCAACTCACAGTGATCCCCGTGAACAACAGAATGACACAATGCCCAGTCCTGCGTCATCCTCTCGAAATCTAGAGAACAGCTACTTGGCCAACTGGTTGGGAGAGATCCACACTTGTGCCCATTCCAGAGCAAGGTGACCCAATGGAATGTAAAAACTACTGAACCATAAATATTAACATGCTGAAACATGACAAACACCAAGAGATCATTCAGTGCCCCAGCACCTCCTTTTGAATCTGTAGGAAGGTTCTCCAGAACAATTCTCACTCCTGGCGCTGCTGGAGGCCTTAGCCAGACTCCTTGGTGGAGACCCTCAGTGCCGCAGAGCTACTGGACAAGGTAACTAAAAACTTCAGTACTTCTAAGGTCAAATGGGGTCAGTGAGCCTTACGGGCTCTTGGGAGAGATCACAGTGTGCTAGCTTGGTTAGGAGAGGAGTATGGAGGAGTTGAGACTGTTACAATGTCGAAATGGTAGGCCAACGGTTCAGCGAGGTGCTCATTAATGGTTAAATACACAATCATTCTGTTTATCTTCAAGTTCTGTATAACCCACTTTCCATATTAAATTTATTTTTGGTTCCAAAGATTCAACACAGGTTGTCTCACTAGGCTACAAAGTCACATAAGAATCTTAACTTACTTAATTTTTAAACAATACTTACCAAGTACACAATGCAATGTCATTTCCCTCTGTGTTCCAATTTGGAGTTTAGGTACTAGTAGCTTTTTTAGACTTTTCAATCACTGACACAATGTTATTCAGTTACCCTTGTCTGTGTGCGAGAGGTAAAAGTTTTAAATACCTCATACCAGAGCCTATCACCCCCAATTTACTAGTGAAGGAAAGGCTTAGAGAAGTACCCTGTCCAGTATCTCAAAAAGTGGCACCACCGGGAATGGGAAACTGGGCTGTCTAATCTCCAAATTAGGAGTAAAATACTGCTTCTTATATTTTCCTACATCGTAATTCTGTCACTCACTGTTGAAACCACATTTTTGAAGACTGCCATTTAGCAAAGGGTTTTTTTCTTTTTTTTCCTTTTAATGTGAAGACGTTTCATTTCAGTCTTTTGAAACGTCTTCTGATAGAATTTAGTGCCCAAGAGTAAACTCCTTCTGATACACTGCTGTTTGCCTACACTGAGTTCAGCTGACTGTTGGATTTCATATATATCTGGAGTCCTGATGTGGCGCTGTAGGATAATCAGTGGATTACTAACCACACGACTGGTGGTTCAAATCCATCAGCAGCTCCTCAGAAACCCTATACAGGGTCGCTATGAGTCAGAGCAGGATCAATGGCACTTAACAACAATGTGTATGTCCAGACTTGTTTAGCAGTGGCTAACGCAGGCAGCTGACCTTGCTCCTAGCATCACCACCTAGAAACCAGTCATGAGATGACAGCCACTGGGCATCACCAAGGGTGACAGATCGAGCCCAGCTGCAGTCAGAGATATTCCTGTTGATTAGCCCCTTCTCAAATCCCTGGAAATAGACATTTGTACCTTCCTACCCGGATGTCGAATTCCAGAGCCTGACCTCTTCACCAGCTTCACCAGTATGCTATAATGTGTCCTTTAACTGTTTCACTCCTTTGGCTGTGACTAAGGATGCACTGTTTACAAAAAGGCTCTTAAAGCTGCATTTCCTCATCGGAATCTCCAGCAGCTATAAGCAGTAGGAATCAACGTGTCCCCATTGACAGAGGAGCTGGAAGCTAGAGGGAGTACAATTCTGCCACGACTGCACTGCCCTGGTCTTCAGTCACACCACAGCCACCTTCCTGAGATGTTGTTTCGTGGTGGGGTGGGGAGCAACATTAGGACAATTTATTCTTTGTGTGTGTGTTCTTATAAACCTTTAATTACAAAATCAGGAAGTGAACTGGATTTGGCCAGTACACTGTAGCTGGCTAGCCCTTCCTCTAAACCAAGCATGCCACAGAGTTTCTGAAACAACACCTGCTGTCCCTGAATTCTTTAACTTTTTATTGTAAATTGTGTGAAGATTTACAGAGCTGATCATCAAGTTTTACACTGAACAAATTATAAACATCCTTTCACATCCATGGCTGCAATCCCGACAGAATAACATCACTTAGCCCACTTCCTCCCTATGTTTCTTGTTTCCCTTTCTCCTCCTCTCCCCATCCTTATGAATATGGTCCTTAGGTAAATGCTGCCCTTTTGATCTCAAATGGTTGACCATCTTATAGTATTGCACCTCACTAGTATTGTTGTTCCTAATTTGGCTGAAAATTGAGCTACAGTGGTGAGTTCAATTCCAGACCTGAAGGGTGACCCGGGGCCATCCATGGTCTCAGAGTTCCACCAATCTCCATCCAACCAATTAAGTCTGGTCTTTTCCGATTTTGGGTTTTGTTCCACATTTTCTCCCACTCTGTGTAGGACCTTCTAATGTGATCCCTTTCAGAGTGGTAGGGAGTGGTGGCTGGGCACCATCTAGTTTCTCTGATCTCAGGATCATTAAGACTGATGTTGGTATGAGGGTAATTCATTCTTTTTTTTTTTTAATGTTTTACTGTGAATTATGTGATAGTTTACATGAGAGAACATTAGTTTTACAATCATCCTATCGTATATTGTTTCATTGCCATGGTTACAACCCCATCCATACAGCATCAACCAACCAAAGGGTATACCCTACAAGCCTGCCCCCCAGTCGTCAGCACACATCGAGGGTAATTCATTCTTAGAGCAGAAAATGGCAGGTATGGGGTTTATATTTACTTTAAAAAAAAAAAAAATGAGTTCTGGCTACTTTGCCTGAACTTTGCCCGGTTAAGCAGCCATTAACAGCTGTGGCAAAGAATGACACCTATAATCATTGTAACTAAGTGCGATTGAGTTGATTCTGACTTAAAATTCTCCTGTACAGGGCTTTCGAGGCTATAAATCAGCGTGGGAGCAGAAACCCTCATCTTTCTCCTGCGGAACTGCTTGTGCGCTCAAACCGTGTGACCTTGTGGTTCACAGACCAGATTAGGTATGATTTTAGTTCTGGCATTTTTTTCTATATTAAAAAATTTGTTCCTGTAATACAAGTAACAAATGTTTAGAGTAAAGAGATAAAAAGAGAACCGAAGAATCAAAACGAAAGGTGAAAATGACCACCTATCCATAACCCTCAGTGCTTTTTATGAGTTGTCCTAGGAATGTGCTATTCATATCTCTCTAAAACATTACCATCAAAACTTCCCTTTAAAAACACTTAAATAGTTGACATCCTTCCATGTCAATATGTAGATTTAGCTCGTTCTTTTTAACAACCAGCTGGTATTTAGTTGTGTGAACAGACCATAATTTGTTTAACTAGTCCTTGCTGATGAGCATTTTGAGTGTTTCATTTTTTTTTTTTTTTTTGTCATTACAAGCATTGCTGCAAAAACATCCTTACTCACCCAGCTTTGTGCTTATGGGACTATATCCTGTAAGTTGATTAATTCCTATGAGTGATAATTGCTAGGTAAAAGAATACACATCTACTTTGTGATAGGTATTGCCAAAGTGTGCTCCAAAAAGGTGGCATCCAGTAAATAGTCTCACAATACGCTGATATGGCTGCTCCCCAGTACTTTGCTACTAGTGGGTGTAATCAAAGATTTTAAACTGTGGTTGCTTATTTCTAATATTCTCAAATATTTAAGTCTTTTTTAGTTTCATTGCATACAGACTGGGTAATAAGAAAAACAAAATACATGAAAGAAATAACCTGGTGTGAAACCCTGTAGTTTTAATACTTACACAGTCCCTGAACTATCTGAAATGAGCTCCTATGTTCTCAGTGCTGAGGTTACTTATGATTTAATCAATGCTCAAGTTGGCAAAACCCATGGCAGCGTGTTCCTTCCTGGCTATGCCTGGGTTGGTCAGAGACCGTCCAGGATGGATTCCTTCCTCCCCAGCTGAGCAGAGCGGCTCCATCAGGATTTTTCTTACTGATGTGAGTAATAGCATGAGAACATTTCTTTAAACTGGGCCATTTAAATGAAGTTTGTTTAAAGTGGCCAAAGCAGAACTGTTAACTCTAGACTTGCTTGTTAAATGGAGGAAAAGAAATTGCATTCGTTACACATGAGCATCCATTTAGCTTGTCCAAAGGGAAAAAAGAAACCAACTGATTTAGAAAATTTCAGAGGGAAGATCTATTTTAATACTCTGCCTGTTTTGCCGAGTGTTAGTTTAAGAGAGAAGTTCTCAATCTCTACCATACTGGATCATGAGCATCTGTCTGAAACACGCTGAGGGTGGCAGTGAGAAAGACAAGGATGACAACAACAAAGGTTCACACATTATTATGTGTACCCCTAGACTAAGCCTTACACATTTATTATCTTATTTACTCTTCACAGTAGGAAGTAGGTAATCTAACTTTCTTTATTTAAAGATGAGGGTACTGAGATGAAGCAATTTCCTAAGGCCAGACTG